AATGACCCTCGCAGCTTCATCTTGAGATCTCTATAGCTCATCAGAAAGTTCCTCCGACATTTACCTTATGCCGGTCTACATTAGTAAAAATAGCACTGACACTAACGTTAAGTCTCTCTGTTTTTGTTATTCCTATCCCCGAAGGTACTTTCTTGGAAATATTTGACCAGGGGGGTTTGACGTTGGTCGTTTTGTTATAACCATGTATTTACTTACTGTATTTGTATTGCACTAGAATAAAATTTGTTAGCACTAAACCACTCATTCAATCCATTAATAGCGGAGCTCCGGCGGCCCAAAGGACCGCCAAGCGGGGCACCACAACTATAAGAACAGAACCACATGCACGCATAGAAATAGAAACCCATGCAACTCTTTTTTCATGGTCAATATGGCTAGCGGCATGGATCGCGGGCGCGTGCGCCCAACGACGACAACGTCGCGCACCATGGCGGCCATACTCCAGCTAATACCAATTCTTGGTTTACAACGTACGTCTTTGATATTTGACATCCACATGTTATGGTAAACTGACAACTGTCAAAACATGGTATCCGCTGACCAGTATCACGTGACCATATCGCGGGCTCAGGATTATAGCTTATCGAGGTCGTGTGTTTTTAAAGTTGACCGCTGACCAAGTACTTGTTTTCGCTCGGATCGCGGGCTCGTGTCAGGTTAATTTGTTGTAATCAGAGCCGCATTGTTCGGAATTGGGTTAAAGCTATTAAAAAATACAATTAAAAGTTCACCGAAGTATAAATTTATCTTCTATACAAATGTTTTTCACTGCTTTAGGGTCAGGGCTCCTGGTCTAGTTTGAGACTATTCAAAATCAAAACAGAAGACCAAAAATATAAACAGAAAACGTCACCGCAAAGTTATAAACCTCAAATCAAATTTCTCCCTTATCCTGGGTTAGCTTAATCGGTTTTTGAACAAAGCGGCCCGTTTTTAGGCTTGGCTATATCTAGTATATTATCATCTCTTTCAACCTTAGACTCTATTTCAGCAGCATCTCTTCCTGCAGACAGACGCATGAAAAACTGACGTCAATTGACTGAAGATACATACGTAATAGACCAATTTCGATATATTAAAATTCAGCCTAACACAATAGACCTCAGCACGAGGTTCTGGGGAATAAAACCCACAAGCTCTCTAGTTATTCCCCTAAGCCTCGTACTGAAGTCTATTGTTTTACTGAATTTTGATATATCGAAATTGGTCTATTAACCTGCTAGTCTCATTCTTATGCCTCGGTTTGTTTGTCACAGGCAAAAAAATGTTGGCAACAAAACATCCTGAACTAGAAAGTCGAAACCGAAGTTTTTAGACACAAAAACATTGTTGGAAGATTTCCGTCAGTTCTACTGGTGAAGACGCACTTTGAACTCGTATTTATTGCACGTATATTTGTGCACAAATATATTACGTTTTAGGTAGGAAACTTGTCTGAGATGGTCAGTCGGTGAAATCATATATATACAAGTGGTTAAAAATCTATCACCTCTAGAGGACTCTGGGTAGGTTTTATTTCTGCACTAGCCTCTGGTCGAATACTATGTGGCTGATCCAGGGCTTGATCCATAGACGAGCTCCCTACACCACAAATAAAAAGTTAACAAAAAAGTTCAATTCACTCCAGTAATCGTAACAGAACAATTAAAACAGCATATTTTATTTCAAATGGTCTCCCGACATTTTAAGTGATCTTCAAGTTTGCGAACTAGTAGGAGACAAGAAAAAACTTTGACATAAAAACACACAGTCTTGATACTTCACAGTTTCATTGTTTTACTGAGATTTACGTGAGTTTCAAATATTATTCAAAATAGAGAAATTGTACATGTTGTATAAATTCTAGCATGTTCTCCAGTTTCAATACTTTTTTTAAAGCAGGTTTTAAACTTTTTTTGATAAAGCGTTTAATTAGCTACGTTAGCGGTTTTACATGAATGTCGAAAAGTAATTGGCTTTGCATTATTTCGCTACAGATTGGCTCAAAAACCTCGCGCCACCTTTTCATTCAATCAGAAGTAAAACCAAAACCAATCGTGACTCGCTTGCACACTCTTCGCGTCAGGTACATGTATTTACGTCGAGACTTGATTGGTTCACTGGATTGTCTGTGTTCTTTGTTATTGGCTAGAGTGATAACTTTGGTTTTGGTTTTGCCACACTTAATAAAAACCGCTCTATCAAGTAACTGTTAATTAATTAGATTTTAATTGGCACTATTTGCAGTCTTTGCTATTACTTAACGGAATTTCCAAATAATAAATTTGGTCTCAGTATATGTATTCATTTTAATATCTTATGGTAAGGCGCAGTTGAATATTTTTATAGAAACTAGTAAGCAGTACAAACTTCAATGATGATGATGATGATTATTGTTATTATTATTATTTTTTTTATTATTATCATTATTATTATTGTTATTATTATTGTTATTATTATCATTATTATTTTCATTATTTAGCGTCGTAAGGTTGGGTACTGTCACAACAACTATTGTGATACTTTAACAAAATGATCAAATTTGATTGGTTATTAGCGCCCATATGTATTTATTGGAAAGTTTACGTATCATGCCTGCTGTTTTTAGACAGTAGCAGTTTTTTGCGTCTGCTGCTATAGGACAGTTTCACTTGAATGTTCCTTCTCGGCTTTTTTTCTCAAACTTTTTTCGGTTATGATTAACAGGTAACAGGACTTTGTCGTTCAATTCGGTCTGTAATCATACCAGCCTGTTTCAGGCTCTCAGTCAATGGGGATTGAAAATGGCTAACGAGCGGATCGCAGTCAAACAGATTACACTCCGGGTCGTGATTAAATAGATCGGACTCCCATTTGTTCTTGTCCGATTTTGTTCATCACTCGAATGATTACAGACCAAATTGTACTCATATTACCACGACTAACAAACACTTTGTCTTCTAGTATGCCATTAGTAATCCTCACCCTCTGACGAGAAACCGCTTTCACGTCTTCCACCGGTATCAGACGTGTAGGTTGAGGAGGCTTCAAATACCTGATTTTGATAAGGCAAAAAAAAAAAAAGAAATGAGAAACTGAACCTTTCAATCCATAGTTGCTCATTAGAGAAATAATGCTTCGTTGATAGATTTGGCTATAATGATGCACAATCCTCGTCACAAGTGTCGAAAAATTTCATTTGCTATGCATTGCGCGCACCTCTAACCCTGTGCCATGTTGACGGAGAGCTATTCATCTGACACTAGTTTGCATTCACCATTTCCCAACATCGACAGGGGGTCGGAACTTCAACGCGGGAACCGAAACCTATTCTGTAGTATTAGAGGGTCTAACATAGGGTTGGCGGGAATTGGGATGAGCCTTTTTTTGCTGTCGGAACGCGAGAAGAAAGGAAATTTGAACTGAGGTTGGAAGTTGGTTAGACGCGTGAATTATCGATTTTTTTTTTCGTGTAAGAAACAGGACGTAAAATGGTCGAAATTAGAATTCAAATTCGCAGCTGAAATCTCCGAAACAGAAACTACATTTCTGCACACGAAAGAGTACAAAAGTGACAGCTTTCACAGGAGTCTATCTTTGTCTTGCAGCTTCGTGCAAACCAACCTACAGAGGCCTTTCAACAAAAGAATTTCAATTCGTGTCACCCACCTGGCGTCACGAAAGGCTTTATCAGAGGAGCACCGTTAACGCTTTCATGACAAATTGCTCTCAATTACTTTTGAGGAAATCATGGGAAATTTGAAAACACGCCTTCAGAATAAAGGTTACCCAGCTAGAATTGTGGAAAAACGCTTCTCAGAGGTCAATTCCCTGATAGAAATGCGCCACTAGCACAGCAAAACAAAGCCTCCCGAAAGACAATACTTCCCTTTGTAACGCAATACCACCCGGTGTTGCCTAACCTAAAGGACACACTCATGGGAAATATACAGAATCAACCACAACTGAGAGGAATCCTCCAGGAGTCCCTCCGATCATCTCATATCGTGAGGGAAAATCCCTTAAAGTTTTCTTAGTGCAAGCTTAGATGTGAAGGCTATTAACTGCACCAATGGCACAAGCTATCTTCTTAGGGAAGTGGTCAAAACTATTGTACATGCTAGGGACCCACTTTTTGGAGGGAGGGCTATATAAGAGGCCA